CTGTAAATACATGTTACGAGATGTACTGATGACATACACAGGGTTATGCACATAATACACAATCCCTTTTTAATCACCCAAAATGTTTCTGACATTGTATCAAGGGGGGGTGAAGAACAATAGGCAGAGAGACGATGATAGGTGTGCGGAGATACGCTGACCGGGGAGAAGATTTTTGGGGCGTTGTGCACCATTGGTGGTAACGAGACAAATCCATCTTCATGCCGAGTTCTCCCCTTCACAGGCCTTCACATAGAAGGATCAATCTCTTTTTATTGTTTTACAGCATGCCTTTTGTCACTCTATATAAGCTGATGGTAATTGTAAAAATATAAAAGGTTTATTGGCATTTGAATTGATCGTTTTGCATAATGCAGTTTATTACAGATGAACGGCAGCCAAGCAGCTAAACCACACAGCTGCAATACACACAAAAGAACGGTCATTTCTATTAACCTGTTCAGCCAGTCTTGTCATCCAGGCACCCCTGCCAGATAGCATGGCCAAGTCTCTGACCTACAGTCCAGTTAGGCAGTACAGATTGGTCAAAGTCCTGCCCTTTACCCCCAGCCTGCTGATGAAAGAGCAGCAGAACACTGATAAGGGTCAACCTTCTGCTCTACTCTTCTGTGGGAGTTCGCACACTGTTAAGCTGCTCTAATTTGGAGCTGTGTGTGGTCCTTTTTGTTGAAGGATACAGACGGAAAATTGTTGAACAGTAACTGATGGCTGTGAAAATACAATACCACGGGGTGGGGGGTGTTTAGGGTGATTGGCGGAAAAACACTAAGTGCATGGCCAGTCTTAGACTGAAAGCTCTGGGCAAAGCAGAGAACTCCTGATTGGCCCCTTTCCCAGACTGAGTGTAACAGATTACAGGACACTAATATACAGACAGGATTCGGGACCTTTTACTAGTTCTTTGCAAATGCGCCTTCACAGCATTTAAACCCCAATCTAGTCCTCTCCACAGAAGCCCCATCATACGTATAAACAAAAACACACATCGGTCTTCTGGCTGACCATGTGAAGCAAACGGTCCTCTTTACCTATTCTGGGTGGTCCTTACTGATGCAGAGCATGCCACAATGATGTGATGACAGGCCCCAAAGGGGTGTGTCCATGATGACGCCCTGGGCTCACAGAATTGGGTTGAACGACGCTGGACGTCATTCACCCAGGAAGTACGTGAGTGCTGCAGCAAATGTTGCATTCTTCATTTTACAACCTGCTGGATTATTCATTTATTTAAATTAAAAAACATAGAGGAATTTGGTGTTAAAGCAAATCTATGCTTTGCCCATTCAGGTCATCGTCACCCCTACACATGGCAGCATATACAGGTGAAACTGGAATAATTAGAATATCGTGCAAAGTTCATTTATTTCACTAATGCAACTTATACGGTGAAACTAATATATGAGATAGACTCATTACATGCAAAGCAAGATAGTTCAAGCCGTGATTTGTCATAATTGTGATGATTATGGCTTACAGCTCATGAAAACCCCAAATCCACAACCTCAAAAAAGTAGATTATTACATGCAATCAATAAAACAAGGATTGTACATAGAACAATATCGGGCCTCTGAAAAGTACAAGCATGCATATGTACTCAGTACTTGGTTTGGGCCCCTTTTGCAGCACTTACTGCAATTACTTTTGCATGATATTCTAATTATTCGAGTTTCACCTGTACTTACATTTCAATCGCTCCTCCGCCGTTCTGCTCAGCCCTGGCAGCTTTAATCCCCGACGACTTCCCGGTATAGAGCTTTTATAAATGTCTCTATTGCTTGTTGCATCCTATCACATTTCCAGCTGTCATTTGTTCCCATGATGACCTAGTTGTCCCAGTATTGTACAACAAAAGTTAGGTTTCGTTTGAAGCCAATTCATCTTTGCAGCTGTATGGTTTATCTTTATGGATGTGCAAAACAGGAAACAGTGTGACATTATACGGTACACAGGGGTGACAAAGCAGACAAGACAAACATCAGGAAATACGTTTATACAAAGTTACAATCCCGAAAACCTGCGTAAGGAAGCCACAGCTGGTCGCTTTGCTGCTGCTTCCACCTGTGGCTTCCTTACGCAGGTATTTGATAAACTAGAAGATTCTAGCGAATTTTATGTTTTTTTGTTTGTTCTGTTTATTTGTAGTGTAATATTCAGGGAGCGGATATGACCCCTAGCCGGCCGTATATATATCAGCAAATAAACTTGTATTCTTTTCCACAAACAATCAAATAAAAATGGCTTATATTCAGCACAATGACAAAACCAACAGGGCTTATTGACAGCAAACACAAGATTCGGCTCAGCGCCTGTATACTAAGTCCCAGCCTCAGGGTTAGAGTCCCAGCCTCAGGGTTAGAGTCTGCTCACAGAGGGTTCCAGTATGGACACAGGTGCCCCAGCAGTGTCTCGGTAGACGGCATTGCACAGCTTAACACACACAGCCATGTGTCCTGCTCCAAACACTCCTCACAGACACAGACTGACCGGCTTCCTGTTCCTTTTTAACGCACCCTCTGGCTGGTGGTTTAACCCTTTCATTACCAGAACTGGCTGTAGTGCGGGACGGAGGCTCTGTTCCACCCAAAAATCTCTCTGAGCCTCCGGATTCCGGGACCCCATGTATATGTAAGAACTCTGGGAAGACTGCCTAGCAGTTTCCCTTATAAGTCCGACCCGGAACCCCCCTCACCCTGCTTGGCGAGAACCCTGAATACAGGGCGACCTTAACGGGACCACCGCCTAAACACGGGAGGGATATACCGTCCATCCAGGACCCATTCCTGGCGTCCTGTACAGTATTTATTTGCCTTTGTAATTGTATTTAACTGTGTATAATAAGAAAAATGTCATAAAGAGATAATTCATAAAGTGTATGTTTTGGTGTGTTGAACATACGGTACCATCGAAGACGTTTTCTTATGTGTTCAATCAGTGCCAAAAAAATATCTACCAGAAGTCCAATGAGCTGATAACTTCCTGTGCGTTATGCCTGTACAGGCTGTTATAAGTTAGCATTGTTCCCGGCTCTCTTTGTGGACAACATACCGTACATAAGAACAATCAACTTCTGTAGCCCTGAAACACTTCCAGTCCTAAGGTGACAATGCTACTTCTCCGTATACACAGTACAGTGGAGGAGCGATGTTATCCTTGGACAGGAAGTGCTACTTGCAGGATCGCTGGGTGAAAGTTAATGGAAAAAGCCTGAAAAATAAGAAAACAAATAAGGAAATGTTACGACTGGTAATCTTCAATATATTAAATTTTTGTTATTTTAGCTGGTCGCAGATATTAGAGAACGGTTGGATGGGCAGGCGGAAGTACCTCTACGCAGTGCTCCACGAGCTTATCAGCTCTGCTCTATCGAGCATTAAAAGTAGGAGCAGGGGAGAAGTACAGGAGAGGCGGCTGGTCCTGGGGACCTTCCCGATCAAATGTTGGATGGCTGGCAGGTTTGTGGAGGACTTCTGTTCTGTCCATTTTCTGCTGGATCAATCAATTGCCATCGGTTTTCTGTGGGTGCCCTTATCCAACTTGATAGCTGCTTACATTTTTTACCTAACCTCCTCTCTTCTCCATACCCGTGTTCATTTTGTCAACGAAAAATTTTCGGCATAGTTTTCCTCAGCTTCATGTTTTCAGTGACAAAAACTAAATAAAAACTTAATAGGACTAAAACTATGATGAAAATACATTGCAAACGTGACGAAAATAGGAAAGACTATTGCATTTACCTATTTGGACTTTCAGTTCCCACGGAGCTCCGCCAGAGCCCCAGTCCCCTGAGTCTATCGGCAGCTGGATTGGCTGGGACGCAGGCTCCATTGGTCTCCCTGCTACCTGGATCAACGCCCTGCAAACCGCAGAGAATACTCCTCCATCGGTTACTGATCCATCGGATTTGCCTGCTACTGTCACGTGAGTCTTTCTCCTCCCATCTCCCTAGCAAGTTAGCACTGTGTACCAGCCTTCTCAAACTTGTTCCCTCTCTCACACCCATTTACTTCACCAACCGCACTTCCAGATAAATACACCCATTAGGTTTTAGTTGACTAAATGGCATTAAAATGGCAATTTAGTCAAAAGACTAAAACTAAATTAAAATTTACAGTCAAAATAAACACTGCTCTTCTCTCTCTCTTTTCTCCTCCCTTCTCTCTCTTCCCATTCTCTCTCCCTCTCATCTCGTCTGCCTTTTCTATCTCTTTTTTCCTCCCTTCCCTCACTTTCATCTCTCTCTCTCTTCTACTTTTCTCTCTCTTCTCTTTGCTCTCTTCGTCTTCTCCTTTCTCTCTCTTCGTCTTCTCCTTTCTCTCTCTTTGTCTTCTCCTTTCTCTCTCTTCCTCTTCTTCTTTCTCTCTTCTTCTTCTTCTTCTTCTCCTTTCTCTCTCTTTGTCTTCTCCTTTCTCTCTCTTCCTCTTCTCCTTTCTCTCTCTTCCTCTTCTCCTTTCTCTCTCTTTGTCTTCTCCTTTCTCTCTCTTCCTCTTCTTCTTTCTCTCTCTTCCTCTTCTCCTTTCTCTCTCTTCGTCTTCTCCTTTCTCTCTCTTCCTCGTCTCCTTTCTCTCTTCTTCTTCTTCTTTCTCTCTTCTCCCTTCTCTCTCCTTTTCTTCTACATTCTCTTACTCTCTTCTTCTCCCTCCTCTCTTCTCCCTTCACTTGCTCTCTTCTCTCTGTCTCTCTCTTCTTACTTTTCTCTCTCTCTCTCTACTTCTTTCTTCTCTATTATTCTCTCTTCTCTCTTACCTTCTCTCTTATCTTCTCCTCCCTTTCCGTCTTTCTCTTCTCCCTTTTCTCTCTTCTCCCTTTTCTCACTCTCTTCTTCTTGTCCCTTCTCTCACTCACTCTCTTCTTTTTCTCCCTTCTCTCACTCTCCCCTCCTCCCTTCTCTCTCGCTCTCTCTCTCTTTCTCCTCCGCAGTGTGTGGCGACTCTCAATGACATCCTCTTCCCAACCTGCAAACACAAGCCAGTAGTGAAAGGCTGCTGTGAACTGTCAGAGCTCTGTGCAGATTCAGATACTGAGCAGACACATCGCTGACTGCTCTGTTTACAACATACCGCAACCTTCATGCCCAACTTTCCCCATGGAGGTGAACTTGTGAGGCTGCCAGCGGCACCCCGGCTTACCCGTACAAGGTAAGTCCTAATAATCATCGTCAGTTGCTTGAGGTTCAGTGTTTTTGATGATGTTTCCAACCAATTGCGGTGCCAAGACTGCTGGTGTTTCATGTCGTATTCTGCAGGTAACGGTAAGAACTGTGATTTATGTCTTTTAAAGCACAAGGAAGCCGCCTTCCTATAAAATAATCCCAATTAAATTTACATTTTACCCGTACAGTCCAATAATTGTTGTATGCAATATGCGCATTCGAGGACCATAAATAGAGCTTATACAATAGATTAGCGAACAGGAAGTTATTTGCATGCAGGAAAATGTCTATTGTCAACACCACAACAATATCTACATTGTTTTCACCCCTGGCAAACTTTCCCACACAGATCTGGAAATATTACTAATGCCTCATTTGTGCAAATGAAGACTTCTCTTTCTAATGCAAGGTCCTTGCTTGAACTCGATGCTTTCATAACCTTGTAAATCAAATGATTCATCTCAGGGATCTTCTCTACAAAATCCTCTCGTTACGACCTTGAGCACGATATGAACTGTTGCATTGTCTTACAGGTCACGTCTCCCCCCGTGCAATTAATCCGACAATTAACCTGCTGTGAATTGTAATGCGATATTGTCCTATAGAATGTATAAGAGGTCATTAAGGACTGATGGGGTTTTTAGTCCTGGAGCACCGGCGCTTTAATGGTATATGTGTCCTCCATAGTACCTCTACAATCTGCAAATGATCCAATTGAGTATCAAAGTAGAAATCTAGAAACACTTCTTTCCACGTTGGATAGGGTTAGAACCTCCGTCTGACTCTTTTCCTTGCTGAGCCGTACTGTCAGGAGAACGGACAGCAGTCACAAATGCCACAGGGTTTCTAACTCTTCCACAAGTTGTCCAAAACTTAAAAAGAATGGTCATCGGCCGGAGGTCCCACTTTGAAGTGAACCAAAAACAGCTTCTGGAATAGGAAACAGAAGGATATTTTTTTTTTTTT